TTTTTCCTTCTCCCATATTCTGTTTCCATATACTTGTAGTGTCCGATGTTGGAACTACTACCAGTGTGGTAGTGGGGTGGTTGTACTACTGAGATTAAGGTTGAGGGGGGGGGAATTAAAAGGAACAGTCACGAGTGAAATTCTTGCAGGTCGCATGGAAACTTTTTCAAAACACCATTTTAGCGGTTCAAACTATGTGTATACCTTAAATAAACAAATAAATAAACAGTAAGAGAGCTGAAAAAAATTCCACTGTGGCTAAACCGCAGTAAGAGATGCAGTTAGACACAAACAGACGTTCTTTAGCAATTAGAAGTCAAATCTTACTGAGAAAACTAGAAAGGAGCATTAACTCAGGCAAGTTAAGTGTAAAAATATAATTAGGCAGGTGAGTAAATTTGAAGAGCAACTAAGAAAAGACAAATTAACAGTACCTTTTTTTAAGTGCAGCAGAAGCAGGAAGCCTGCCAAACAATCAGTGAGGCCACAGGATAATTTTGGTGCTTCAGGAGCACTCAAGGAAGATAAGGCCATTGTGGGCATGAATCCTTTGCATTGGTCTTCACTGCAGAGAATGTGAGGGAGATTTCCACACCTAAGCTATTCTTTTTAGGTGACAAATCTGAGGAACTGCCCTGGCTTAAGGTGTCAATAGAGGAGGTTTTGGAACAAATTGATAAACAGTAATAAATCATCAGGACCAGATGGTATTCACCACAGAGTTCTGAAGAAGCTCAAATGTGAAATAGCAGAACTACTGCAGAAATGTGGTATGTAATATATTGCTTAAATCAGCCTGTGTAACAGATGACTAGTGGATAGCTAATGTAATGCCAATTTTTTAAAAAGGCTCCACAAGTGAGCCTGGCAATTGCAGGCCAGTAAGCCTAACTTTTGTACAAAACGGATTGGTTGAAACTATAGTAAATAACAATTATTAGACACATAAAGGAACATGATGTGTTGGGGGGGAAGAGTCAACTCGGCTTTTGTAAAGGGAAATTGTGCCTCACCAATCTGTTAGAATTCTTTGAAAGGGTCAACAAACATGTGGGCAAGGGTGACCCAGGGGATATAGTGTATTTGGACTTTCAACAAGTCTTTGACAAGGTTCCCCACTAAAGGCTCTTAAGCAAAGTAGCTGTTATGGGATAAGAAGGAAGGTCCTCTCATGGCTCAGTAACTAGGAAACAAAGGGTAGTTCTAAATGGTCAGTTTTCACAGTGGAAGGAGGTAAATAGCAGGGTCCTCCAAGGCTCAACACTGGGACCAGTGCTGTTCAAAATATTAATAAATTATCTGGAAAAGGGGGTAAACAGTGAGGTGGCAAAGTTTGCAGATGATGCAAAAATCACTCAAGGTAGTTAAGGCTAAAACTGACTGTGAAGAGTTACAAAGGGATCTCACAAAACTGGGCCACTGGGCAACAGAATGGCAGATGAAATTCATTGTTGATAAATGTAAAGCAATAAACATTGAAAAACATAATCTCAACCATATATACAAAACTATGGGTTTAAATTTGCTGTTACTACTCAAGAAAGAGATCTTGGATTCACTATGGATAGTTTTTTGAAAACATCAGATCAGTGTGCAGCAGCAGTTAATAAAGCCAACAGAATATAGGTCCCATTAGGAAAGGGTTAGATAATAAGACAGACACAGTATAATAATGCAACTATCTAAATCCATGGTATGCCCACACCTTGAATATTGCATACAGTTCTGGTCAGCCCGTCTCAAAAAAGATATATTAGAATTGGAAAAAGTACAGCAAAAGGCAACAAAAATGATTAGGGGGATGGAACAGTTTTGATATAAGGAGAAATTAAAAAGGAGGGACTGTTCATTTTAGTAAAGAGACAAGTAAGGGGAGGATATGATGGAGGTCTATAAAATCATGAATGGTGTGGAGAAAGTGAATAAGGAAGTGTTATGTGAAGGGGTAAATAACACAAGAACCAGGAGGTCACCCAATGAAATTAATAGGCAGCAGGTTAAAGCAAACAAAGGAAAGTACTTCTTCACAGAACGCACAGTCAACCTCTGGAATCCATTGCCAGGGGATGTTGTGAAGGCCAAAAGTATAACTTTATTAATAAAAGAATTAGACAAGTTCATGGAAGATAGGTTCATCAATGGCTATTAGCAAGATGATCAGGGACACAGCCCTATGTTCTAGGAGTCCCTAAACTGCTGACTCTGAGAAGCTGGGACTGGACAAGAGGGGATGGATCACTCGATAAATTGCCCTTGTCTGTTCTTATGAGATTAGTTTACTGTTTAACATATTATACTAGTAGTGCATTCAGCATGAGGTGTCTAGTGCAAGCAATATTTAGAATAGTTCTCCATTGTGGTGTGGCACCAGATTCTTCCAAGGAGAGTAAGTGACTTACATTACTGAGTTAGGATGGCACATGGTTCCCACATCCTGAAACAATTTACTTACACAGGTTTAGCCCTGTGAGGTATGGGAATGTGTGGAAGAAGATGGGGTGATAACATATATGGGAGAATGAAAAAATGGGTAGGCAATAAAAAGAATGAATTAGAATGGGTGGAAGTTAGTGAGCACACAGGAAAGTGCAGGGATTTAAATGAAGGGGCATTGAACTCCAAATACATACAAATAAGGATGTGGAAGGGTGGGGCTGGGGAATCACCTGGAGCAGGGGGGAAAAGATGGGCCAGAAAAGGAAGGTGATAGGACAAGCAAGGGGCAAATCACATACTATACATAAGAGAATGAGTAGAAGAGTATGTATGGGGAAAGTCAGTGAGTTGGGGGAGGGGGCTGTTGATTTGGTATTCAGAGGCGGATTTCAGTTTTGTGGGGCACTGAGCCAGAGCAAGTGGGGGCCGCTTCCCACCCCTGCCACCTACCACTTCCCCCCACCCCTCCAGTGCTCCTGCCAGGGAGTGGGGGCAAGGCGCGGGGGCTTGCCCTGCTCCACCTGCTCACCCAGCGCTCCTACCGGGGAGCAGGGTCAGGGCACGGGGAGATGATGTGCCTGGCGGTCATTTATACAAAATTATATATCTCTAGCAATGCAAAGAGAAAACTTAATATGAATCTTCTGACAAAGCCCTGTGTAGTGAAGGGAGTCTGTCCTGGGAGTTAAGTGTAAGATCTTCACTTGAATAAGTTTGATTATGTCAGTCCCGCCCATGTTTAAAGGAAGAAAGATGTTTGCTCTTTGCTCAGGAATGGCTAGGGCTGTCTGATGTGGAAACTTTAGATGGCTGGAAAAGAAATAGGCCAAATAATGTGAAAGAAGCAACATGGCTGGCAGGGATTTAACAATTGAAGAGATGCAATTTAAAATATTTTATAAATTGTACTAGACCCCCAGAATGACTTCTTCTAGCTAGGAGTGAGAGACGATAATCTATTCTAGAAAAGCAGAAAGAAATAAGAGTACAGTAATGTTTTAGAGTGGCCCAAGAACAACAGCAGCAAAAATAGATCATAAAATGTTCTTGCTGCTTCTGTTATGTATTCTGGCAGGCTGTTGGTCATTACTGAGCATTTAATATGAAAAGATCATATGGTTTATTTGTGTGGAAAAGTTTGTCAGGATCAATGTTTACCAGGGAAAATGAATCTCAGATCTAACAAGTCATATCTTATGATAATATATATATATATATATATATATATATATTGTGGAGAAGAGTAGAATAGAGGTAGAAGAGTTCAAAGAAGTGTGGGAATACAGTAACTCCTCACTTAACGTTGTAGTTATGTTCCTGAAAAATGCGACTTTAAGTGAAACAATGTTAAGTGAATCCAATTTCCCTATAAGAATGAATGTAAATGGGGGGGTTAGGTTCCAGGGAAATTTTCTTTTGCCGTACAGTACAATAGTTGGGAAGTGCCCCCGCCTTACCTCACACAGGCACAGCCCACTGGCACTGGAGACAATGAGACAGGCAAGGAGGTGAAAGGTGCTGTAGGCTCGGAGAAGCACATTGCGCAGCAGTAGCGTCAGCTTCCCCTACTCTGCAAGCGCCAGGGGTGGGGGACTCAACCCTCAGCCCGCCCATGCCACTCCTTCCCCCAAGCCCCCCACCCTTAACCTGCCTCTTCTCTCCCCCCCCCTTACAGAGCACGCCGCGTCCCCCCCCCACCCCTGCCTCCTGCCCGTGGCAATCAAATGGCTTGCAGCATTCAGGAGGGAGGGGGGAGGAGCGAGCACACAGTACACAGGCTCCCCCTGCCTCCTGAACACCGCAAGCCAGCTGATTGCCACAGGGAGGAGGGAGGAATGAGGACTCGGCATGCAGGCTCCTCCCTCCCCTGCCTCCTGCCCATGGCAATCATCGCTTGCGGTGTTTGGGAGGGAGGAGGAGCCTGCGCACCGAGTCCTCGCTCCTTCCCCCCTCCCTCCTGAACACCGCAAGCCAGCTGATTGCCACGGGCAGGACGCGGGGGGAGGAGGGGGAAGGCGCTGATCCGCGGGGTCTGCCGGCGGGTGGGAGGCGCTATGGGGGGGGGCATAGGGGAGCTGCTAGCTGTGGACAAAGCAGGCAGCCAAATGACGTTATAGCGAATCATTGCACAACTTTAAATAGAGCATGTTCTATAACTGAGCAGGGACGTAAGCTCGAAACAATGTTACGCGAGAGGACATTAAGTGGGGAGTTACTGTAGTTTCTTGTAGCGGGGTGGTCAACCCACTGTGGCCCTGAAGGGGTTAAAGCAGCCCTGGAGAGGGCTGCAGTTGAGAAATGCTAGGCTGATTGGGGGAAGCAGCCACAGGTGGGGCCACGCCCTAGTCAGGCCACAGCTGGCCCTATAAGAGGGCTGAGTGCCAGAGACTGAAACACTCACTCTCTCTAGCTTCTTGAGGGAGAAGGACCTGGCTGCCTGGGAGCTGAGGAGGGTACCTAGGGTGGAGCAGTGCTGGAGAAGGGCAGAGGGAGCTGGGGAGCTCCAGCCTAGCAAAACCCCAGGCTGCAGGCCGAGTTAAAGGCCTACAAAAGGGTACTAGGGCTGCAGAGGGGCAGCCCAGAAATAGGCAGAGACAGCTGGTCCTAACCCCCTTGCTAATGATGAGTGGTTTACAGACTGCCTTCTGCCCCAGTGAATGGGGGTTAGATGATGACTGGCAGTAGCCACTGAGGCAAGGTGGATTCAGAGGGATGGGGGTTCCCCAGGGAGGGGAGACTCATATTGGGGGTTACTGCTGGGGCAGAATCCCAGGGCAAAGGGCACCGGGGTCCAGGAGGGACACGGGGCCAGCGGCAAGCAAGACACCGGCCTGCAGAGGGCGCTCCGAGCTGGAAAAGAGCTAATTCCCTGGACAACCAGCAGGAGGCACCACGCTGGTGAGTCATCACCCCGCCACATTTCTAAATCATATTACAAAACAAGGGAAAACTCAAAACTAAATCTCAGATCACCAAATATATGAAGTGAATGCATCCACGTTATCAAATTCTAAAACAGAAATTATAGGAATTCTTAATGGTATTTTTTTAAGGCTAGAGAAACCAGTAGTTGTTACCTTAATTATTCAAATTTGCAGTAAAGATCCAATTAAAATAGATGATTCCACTTTATGGAGATATAGAAATGTTCCATTTGGTGATCATAGTAAACTACCCAGTGTCTCCTAGAGTGAAACTAATGCACAAAGTCTCAGTATTATTCTGTTCACCAGAAAAAGATCTCTATTGTGGTTGTTTCGCTTTACTTAATGTGAATGTTGGCAAGTAGGCTAATGAAATCATCTCCTGTTTTTTCTAGGGAGGGCTGTGATTGGAGTTGAGAACGAGATGAGCCAATCATGAAGGACTATAAGAACATGGTGTTCTTACATCCAAAGTAAGCCATATATAATCTCCATATATGACACCACAGGATGGACGAGGTGGAGTGGGAGTCCGATAATGACACTTGTGACACGGGTGAGGAGCATTCAGATGGCTCCAGTCATTCCTCTGAGCGGGTGGGTCACAAATCTAGCCTCCAGCTGGAGGTAGACTTAGACAACTCTCAACCATGCAGTCCGTGTTGTAGCCCTGCTGGACCTTCAGGTAGGCAAGAACTCCCTGTAGAATTGCAGTGTGAAGATGAGGAAACCTATGAGACCTACTACCAGAAGCGAGGTGAGACTACAGCTGGGGTTTTTGTCACCTCCAACACCAACTTTGACCTGCAATGTGAAGATGAGGATCTGGAGTTCTACTCCTCTGAGGAACCTCAGGGAGGATTAAGTGAGGATGATGAAAAGATCATTCTTGTTGATGCTTTTGATGAGGACCTCGAGTCCATCACTGGAGAAGCTTTGTCTTATAGGTGCAAGAAGTGTGGTGCCTCTTTCCAGGATCTGGGTGAATTACAAGAACACAAACAGATCCATCTGACAGAGCATTCATACCAATGTCCCATCTGCGGCAAAGAGTTCTTCCGTGCTGCGAACTTGCGAATGCACAAGCTCATTCATTCAAGTGACAGACCACACAAGTGTCCAGAGTGTGACAAGGGGTTCATCCGCACAGCTGATGTCTGGAGGCACCTACGCAATGTGCACAAGATTGAGCGCTCCAAGGTAGTTTTGGGAAATGGCATGGTTAGGAACCCATGGTCAACATTGCACCAAAACAAGCATGGCAGTGGGGACACTGACCAGCAGTGTTCAGAAAATCAAAAGCCTGGGGAAGAAGAGTCTAAACCTTGCATCTGTCCAATGTGTGGCAAAGGTTTCCGTAAACCTAATCTGCTGTCGAAACACAAGGTGATCCATCGACAGGACAAACCATATAAATGTCAAGAATGTGGTATGGCCTTTGTCCAACTACTGAGGTTGAAAAGGCACCAACAGACTCACTCTGGAGAGCGCCCTTTTTATTGTGAGGAGTGTGGAGGCACCTTCACACGACTGGCATCACTACAGCGCCATCAGCGGATCCATACTGGAGAAAAACCCTACTCTTGCGCTTACTGTGGTCATTCCTTCACAGAGTCAGGCACTCTAAGGAGGCATGAGCGCACACATAAAGTGGACAAATCTTAGTGTTTAGGGCTCTATGATTGTGGTCACCATTTTTTGCCGGTTACTAGAATTAGAACTGTTCAGTTATGCTAGAGAAACTGCTCCACCCCCCAACCCACCCTCCACATGCACGAAAACTGGTCCACCACTCCCTTCCTGAAGGAGGGCCAGTATAAGTCTATTATGGAGTCATTGCTTCGTAAGGAACTCCGTGATCCCTGCAAGTAGTCAGTGCTGACTGGCCTGGCACCTGTCCTCTGGAGTTACAAGAGGAAAAAGTTCCATTTCCATTAAATAATGAGGTCGGAGAAGTCAAAGGACATATATGGAAGTGAAGCTCCTACAAGGTACTGAGCATTGTCATAACTAGTTGGACTTTTTTTGGGGTGCATTAAGTTGAGCTTTTCTTTAGGTCTGATGGGTTAAATGGAGCCCTTCTGCAGTCCCAGACTCCGAACTGATTGTGACTGCTCTTCAGCACTGGATTTGGAGATCTGTCATTGCAGCCTTTGCGAGGACTGCACAGTCCATTTAATCAGAGCTGGCCCATCCATACCTTCTCTCTGTTCATTCTGTCATGTTTTTATTGAAATATGTTTATTTGGGAGAGAAGTATCATGTTGGCTATAAAAATCCAGGACCCTAATAAATTTGATAATTAATTAAACAGCTGCATCTAGTACATACTGTTTTGTCCGTGGTTATGTATGTATATTGGTGAGTGGAAAGAGACTTGTATGAGTGGCTGTGAAGTGTGTGGAAGAATGGATTGTTTGTATGGATCTGTGCCACTTGTGTCTAAGTGGAGGAGAGACCATTCCCAGCTACTGCATTACAGTAACAAATGTTTGAGAATTTAAAATCAGAAGAGTGGCAAAACAACAAAGTGAAAATCACGTCTTGCTGCTTATTACATTTTAATTTAAATTTCCTTGTTTCCATGGCCCTGTGTACATGAGGAAATTCATCATAACAAATCATTGGAATGCCATGAACTCACAATGCCTGTACCTAGGGCCTTATGTGCTGCATAAAGTGTTCACTAGAATCTTAGCTGTCATTTTTAAAATTAAGTCCCAATAAAACCTAGTTCTCAGTGAAATCTTCCGGAGTCTGCAAATACCTGAACCATAACTCTAAGGAGGTCTGAACTGTGCCATTCATCTTAGAGGTTAGTTGACTTTGAAACCCAATGATGGACATTAAAATGTTAACATTAAATATTTAATGGCTGATCATTTTAGCAGGAACATCCAGTTTATGTACTCATACCACAGTTCCAAACTGCCTCCCATGCCAAAAGATCCTGCTATCCCCAAATCACTGGCTTCCCTCAACAAATTGTACAGTGCAGTTACGCACTTTCAATATGAAGTTCTGCAGCATATTGACAATGTAAAATTTTGGGGAATCATAACATTACTTACATTTAGTATCAATTCAAGTACAGTAACTCCTCACTTAACATTGTACCTATGTTCCTGAAAAATGCGACTTTAAGCGAAACTATGTTAAGTGAATCCAATTTCCCCATAAGAATTAATGTAAAGGGGGGGAGGGTTAGGTTCCAGTGAAATTTTTTTCATCAGACAAAAGACATATATATATATATATACATACACACACACACACACACACACACACACACACACACACACACACATTTATATATATAAAAATCAGAATTGACTATAATTTCCCGCAAGGTTTATAGGCTTAAGAATTTTTGTTCAGACAATTAGTTTGAAGATTTTATTCCATATTAAAAGCTG